ACTGCCCTTGCCGTCCAGAATAAAAGAGAGCATCCCAATCGAGTGAAGGGATTTGTGCAAACTGTGGTTCCTAATTATTGTGATCCAACATTTGCCTCGCATTTCAGGATGAAAAGACAAACATTTCAGGCGAAGGATAGTCCACTTTTTTAACTCCGAGACTGTGTTATGATCTATTTGACCTTATTATTTTTATTGTAAGTATTAGGCTTTTCATTACTGCTAATCACTGTTGTTGTGCTATGATATTGTAATATTTACCATTATATAATCAGAGGAGTATAGAAAAGTTTATGAAAGTGTTACTCCACAATACAATAGCAAAATATATAAATATGTATAGTATTTTTATGTTACATTAATCAGTGTCTAGCACACCTTCCTAAGGAAAGGATATGGACAATCTATGGCAAGCCGTTTAAAAGTTATTCTTTTAACTAAACTATCTGTTTGATGTTACTATTACTTATTATTATTTTTTAATTACTAATTATTAATTCAATAGAGACTAGTATCAGGTTAATTCAAACTAATACTTATTCATTACAGACTAGCCCTTATTCCTTTGCTACTATTCACTACCCTAATTAACAATTACTTATTACAGGGTTGCTGATAACAAATTACTGTTTTTCCATCGAAATCTATTGGGATATGTGGTTCAGATGTCAAGTGTTCATGTCTGTTAGATTAGTCTAGTACATTAGCATGTGGTAGTTCTTGCTGGTCCCTTTTACAGTTTTTCTAGCAGTTCATTGGGTACTGGCACTTTTGCCAACTATGCCAGTATGAGACTGAGACACTAGTATGTATCCCAGTTGTTATTAGTAACATTTCTTATCTCAGTGGCTATAATTATGTATATGTTTTTTCATATTTAATAACTAGTGTGGTTATTTTGTAGTTCAGTTTAAAATCATATTAGTAAGATGCTAGTAGTACCACTTGGAAATCACACTAGTGTTTAATAAACAGGTACTTGTGCCTGTTCAAATTGTACTAGAAAAACAGGAATGGATACTACTTTGAGTAGGTTTATATACATGTTGCTGCTGATTGGGCTGACATTTTTGACACACCCACCAAACAAGAGAATACGTATCTCAAACCCTGTTGCACACTGTTTCTAGGAAACATGTCGTTCAAACCGGAAACTAGCAAAACGTTGTGCAACGGTTTGAGCTTGAACTTGCCCCTGCTATTGGTTCTTTGGTTCATGTGTCATGTTCTCATTGATTGTCTTCGTCATGTGTCTTGTCTCTCATTGGTTAGTTCTTGTCATGTGACCTGCATTGTTTCATATAAATAGCCCTCATGTTGCCTTTGTTGAGTATTGATCTGTGTAACCTGCTGTTGGTGAGTTTGTGTTTCTGTTCATGCCAAGTCAAGTCTGTTCATGCCAAGTCTTTTCAAGTCAAGTCTTTGTTTGTATTGTGGATTACTTTTGAATAAAAGCTGCACTTGGGTTCATCACAACTCTCCTTCAGTGGACCGTTCGTTACAAAATATGTATATGTATATATAAAATATTAAATTATATTAATTATTTGGTTCTAGGATTCTAGAAGTGTTTAGTTTAGATGTATGTGAAGTTTAATGGTGCAACACTCAGATATGTAGTAGTGTGTATTATATCTAGGCTAAGTAACTTGCACACAACTGGTGCACACGGCCCCCAGAGATCTACCTTTCTTCAGCCTGCACTAACATGCCTGTCTGTAATTTTGTTTTAATGAATAAATGTTTGATCAAGGTGGGATCGAAACTGTACAAAACAGTAGATCTCTAGGAACAACATTGAGCACCGCCGAGATGACATACTCTATGGACCTTCCACCTTTTTTCTGTTTTTGTTCACCATCCAGATCAGAGCTTGACCTTTGCCCTGTTATGTACAAGATCACTTACTAGTAGGCCTATTTTCTCTAGACCCTTCTAATCACTGTTTTGTTCCTTTGTTCCCATGCATGTTGTTCAGAGAAATGACTGAAACCCAGTTTGATATGAACTCCGGTATCTCTGCAATATCTCACATGTCAGAATATTATTAATTTGCATAATATACATCAATCAGGCGATACAGACTGGAAATCTGATTCTCCATGGAAACGACATGAACTCTGTGGTTTCTAATGTTTGCTTTTTTTTTTTTTAAATGTCTTGTTTTGCTCTTCAGCTCTCAGTAGTAAGGAGTCTTCACACCGTCATTGTAATATTACCTCTGTTCCTCTTGCACAGGCGACAGTTGTTGTCTTTGCTCAAGCTTGCCTCACAGTTTTTGGATGGATAATTGTGTGTGAAACCGCTGAGAAGCGCCTCTTCTCACCCACTGTTCGCTTCAACAAAAACACCCTCGAATGTAACTGATTCCTCCATCTCTAGAGGTGTTTTGATGGGGCAGATGTTTTTCTGTCAGGATGAATATTACGGAAGAGGCCTATTGGAGGGAGAAATTAGGATTAAACGCCCTCTGTGTGCTGAGCTCTCGAGGTTTCTCTGCCGGTTGAGTTCATGCCAGACATTTGGAGCTGGTTCTCCAGCTATTGAGATGGAAAAATCAGAGAGAAGGCTATCGTTACTCTCAATCAAGAAGAGGGAAAGTGAAAACAACGAGAAGGGGGAAATCGAGCCTCTGGAAAACATAATAAGTCATCATGTAGTGGAGGAGTAAGAGGAATGGTGTGAAAAGAGCCAAGAAGACAAGCAGAGGCTGTCTGTGACGGATGAGTGCAGGGAAACTGGGCTTGTCTCTCCAGAAGGGCAAACCCAGTCTGATTGATTAGAGCGCCTTTTGAAAAAGGCCTGATACCCAATAACGTTTCTGAGGCATTTTACAAATGCTCTCTTGTTCTTTTGAGAACTGTGCGCTGTGAAATAATAACAGCAGTAGCAATGGTGAAGAACAAGGGATATGTGTAACACTTGCCTTAAAGGTGACATATCATGAAAATCTGACTTTTCCAGGTTTTAAGTGCTATAATCAGGTCCCCAGTGCATCTACCAACCAAGGAAACGTGAAAAAGATTAACCCAGTAACTTTGTTTTGGGAAGCCTTTTTCTGCAAGCGCCTGAGAAAACGAGCGCTTCTGATTTCGCTAAAAAACATGCTAACTGTTCTGTCATTGGCTGCACAGACGAGCACAGAACACTATTTAGAGTCCCAGCCTCAGAGGAGACAAGACGGCAGTGGATTTATTGATTTATTTAATCTATATTGCTGCTGCCACAGAGATCTAAAATAAACATGTGATTTATTTCCCAGTTGTTTACCTTCACAGACATAACCGACTGTTTTTTGTAACTCGTGTGTTTTTAACGTAAACTTGTGTGTGAATGAGAACTTAGTTTAGTACTCACATGCTGTGACAGCCGCTTTCTGTCCGTGTGCTTCAGATGTGTGCACTCAGAAAACCGTATATCAGAAGTTTAAACTCATATGGTTTAAAACGCATGATTTCAGCGCGATAAACATGATAATTAGAACCATAACAGATGTTTTTAGCATGTGTAATGGCGCAGCTCTATTCTGGAAAAGGGGGCGGGGAGCAGAGTTAATTTGCATTTAACTCGCCCCCTGGATCTTGTGTTCTGCAGTGAGTACCATCTCGAAAAACAGCGTGTTTCTGCTTCCACTCAAAATAGGCATTTTCAAAATGATATAATAAATGATCTGTGGAGTATTTTGAGCTGAAACTTCACAGACACATTCTGGGGACACCAGAGACTTATATTACATATTGTAAAAAGGGGCATAATATGTCTCCTTTAATGTCTGTGACTCATTATTTATCGCAAAGTTTGATATCATTTCCCCATATGTATCTGCTGCAAATTTAAGTTGTTTTGAAATTTACAATATATGTAAATAGTTAGTATGAATTTATTTCAGGTAAAATGAGTGCTGTTGTTAATACCTATCCCACTATTACAATACATTTACATGCATTTATTTTGTTAGTTTTTTTTTCAACCACAATTAATCCCATCCCAACTATTTTATTTTATTTTATTTTAAAAAGTGAAAAAAGTGTTCAAAAAATAAGTAAAACTATTATTTTAAAATAGCTAACGAGTTAAAATATGAAACACTATCCTATGTTTAATCTTTGTCCTGCAGAAGTAGATTGAGAAATTAGTGTTACAGTCTTACCTGTCTGCTCAGAAAAGATATGTCTGGTTTGTGTAGCATTTAGGTGAAAGATTTGAGCAAATTTTATATATAAAAATTAAACTACAAAACCTACCAATTTTGTCAGGTGTTAAAAGTCACCCCGTGATTTACAACCATCCCCATTTTCCCCTAGAAAAAAAAGCCCTTAATACATTAAAGAATTTATGTTTTTATGAATATAGAAAGTAATTTCCTCAGTTGGAAAGAGTAACCTGAAGGTATTTTTCAAAATTATCCCATAACATATGCATTTATGATCTCTGCTTCAAATTGGTAAACCGTAACCAATCTCCTTCCAATTCACTTACTATTTTTCTCTCAGTCTGCTCAAGGTGTAAATGTATTCAACTCTCTTCCCCTTCGAAACATGTGCACGGCTGCCCTTTGCTTGGTGCGAAGCTGTGAGTCACATGTAGTTGTAGTTATACCGAGGAACTCGTAGCCTAAGATGATCTTATCGTAAGCTAAGCTGACGTTAACACGTGACATAAGCCCCTGGTGTACGGACCTCTGCGGGGTCATGTCCAGAACTTGACTTCAAGCAGCTTCTCTCTACACAGGGATGCAACTGTTTGCAGCTGTGATCTCATCTTCACAGCATTTCTGCTTCTGAAGACCTATTGATTAACAAGAGACCCTATTGATTTAGACAGTGCTCACTCATTTAAACGCCCACCTTTAGCTCCTCTCATTATTATACATCAGCATTGTAGTTATGTGCTAAAAAGTTTACGATTTAATGGCTCTTTCACTCTTGATTACGGTTTTTCCTCCTCCTTTAGGTTCATGTTTAATCTCTCAAATCTTTCTTGATTGCTCTACAGTTCTGCTCCAGGCTGACTATCTGTGACATCCTGGGAAAACATTGATGCCTTTTAAGAACCCACAACCACTTTTCCCATTCGACTAAGTGGGATTTGCAGATTACAGCAAAATCTGAGGTACAGTTATTTGAGAAATGGAAAATAACTTTCTTTTCACAGGCTGTTTGCACGCTACCCCGTATTTCCAAAGCATACACACTCACGTAATCATGAGCCGGCGCACTCAAGTAAATCTATTTACTCTGAACGTCTCTTTTTTCGCGCAGGGGTTAGGCGATTTTCGGTCTACAGCGATTTCCCCCTCTCTTCTATTCTCAAGGGGAAGCTTGTTAAATGGGTTGCTTCCACATTGTACTCTAAATCCTCACCCATTCCTTTTGAAGCGGCTTCAAACAAAAGCATGAGTCGACTACAGTGCGTTTTTTGTTCCCTGCCAGCCATGTGGATGGCATATGCTAATGGTATAGGGTGAAGAAGTAGTGTTTTGTAAGAATGGGTAGCTGCTGGTTCTAGCCCAGGGGAACGGCGGCTTTGAGTGGCTCAATGTCTGCAGAAGAAAGGGAAAATGGAAATGTTTCAGATGTGAGTGGTGTTTTTCACAGTCGCCACATGGTAAAAAAAGAAGGCCATTTGTGGCTTTGTGCTCTGAGTCCTCTCCACTGAGATGGACAGCTTCCGTCTGTGGTTAAATAATCATAAAAACAAGATCTTCCGGTCCAGATGTGCATCACAGGTTGTGTAGCAGGGAAAGGGTTGAATGAGAGCCTTTAAGATTTGGTTGTCTCTTTGTCACACATAGTTGAGCGCTGAATTTTTCAGTATTTTCATTAAAATGTTCACAGTGCTCAAATAAGCACCCTATGCAACTTATAACCTATAGAATGTATTCAAAGTCTTCTGAAGCCACACGATAGTAAAAAAATTGGCATATATTCAGATGTGATGGCAGTGATGCCAAATGCTCATTGGCTCTTACATGTTTTGAAAAAATGCCACATGTCAAGTCTGAATATGTGAAAGTGGCAAGATTTTCAGTGAATAATGGTTATTTGGTATGTTTCTCTTGCAAAAGTGTTGTATAGTTAAAAATGACTTGAATTACAGCTCACAGGCAAGGATATTATTGTTTTAGTTTTAGTTTTTGTGTATATTCGAATGTCTTGTGTTTGTGGCTTTAAGGTTTTAGTACATTAGAGCTGCCAAAGTCCGCTTGTATCATAAAAATGGTATTATTTTAAAACTGTATAAAACAGTTTGATTTTTCACTGCAGTCTAGTGCCATTTTCATATTTACTAAAGGTGTCAAGCAATGTAATATACTATAAAAACAAGAAAATTAATTTGTGGACACTTTTATTTTAGTAAGTTTTGGTGTCCCAGTTAGTTACCTTTAAACAAATATATGTTTGATTTTTGCAGTCTAGTGCCATTTTCATATTTACTAAAGGTGTCAAGCAATGTAATATACTATAAAAACAAGAAAATTAATTTGTGGACACTTTTATTTTAGTAAGTTTTGGTGTCCCAGTTAGTTACCTTTAAACAAACA